GGTATACCGTTCCTGAGCCATTTTCCCTTAAAGACAGAAAGCGAGGTCTGGCAAGAAAGTACGGAACAATTCTGTTTCTTGAAAAAAGGCAACAAGCGTTTTGAAAAACATTCCTTTACATAAATATCTTGCTGGACAATGCCAGTTGTCACGAAAATGTCGCTTTTCAGCCCACAGGTGCAAACCACCTGCTAAGCCAAGTATTTTTTCGTGAACTTTGTCAACTTTTTCTGCTAAAACTGATCTTAAACTCAACTTGAAGACGTTCCCGAACACTTTAATAACGTTTGCCACAGTCGGTTTGGCCACTTTCAGCGATTTAACCAAGTCTGCGTGATTTGACGCCATTTTGGCAACTGAATGAAAAATGAAGAAGTGTTAGTTTGTTTACTAAAATTAACTATGAAAATGCTGGATAATTTTACGAGTGCTGATAGGGAACATTCGATTTTATGTTTTGGTTATGTCGTTTGATGTATAAACGATCAAATTTGGCCGTTTACAGGTCAAACGACACAAGCATAATATCAAATCATATGTTCCCTACCAGAAACTTAACTAGATCGTGGTGGCCATGAGCGCTCGTAATATGTTGGATATAGCAAGTTTTGCTATAATCAATCCTCGTGTTTATTCGCGAAATCCACATCACATCGTTGGAAATCAATTTGGCAAGACATTTGTGACCAGCATAGACCTTCTGGTCGTATGATACAGGTCCAAATCAACAACAACAAAAATTATGTTGGCACCTTTTATGGCAAAATAGTGAACTTTTCATGAACATTTACGGCACATAACTCACCAACACTAGCGGGTCAGCTGACATCTATCCATATTAGGGCATCATTTCATACAACCGGTGGAAACTAACGATTTTAAATTAGCTCACTACTTGACTAGCCTATTGGTCCCAAGCAAATTGATTAACGTATCCCATTCTAGTATAAATTCTAGTACTACACAATGTTTGTTTTGATTCGCTATGAAAGTTTGACAGATAAAATGAGGGGCTAGTGGATTTTCCTATGTATCGAGGGGTGCATCGATTAGCTTGGGACCGAAGATAGTACCAGAGCTGAGCAAAAAGTTGAGCTCGTTTCTTCGGGACCTACGAGTCTTAGAGTTATCTCTATGGTAGTACTTTTTCGACACTGTTATTTTAGTTATGAAAAGTAGGCCATTATGGTACTCAAAACAGTGTCGAAAAGTGACACTTTTCAGCAATGAGTGCCAAAAAGACTTTTTCGCACGCTACTAATAGCGAATTTGTTTATTATTTAGTTCCAACCTGGATCGGGTATCAAGATTGGCTCTGCTTGTTTTCTGAAAAACGTCAGTTTTATCGTTTGTTTTAAAACCTAGGGGAACTAGGGGCAAAAGTGCCACCCTTGAATTTCCCTGTAAAAATATGAAATATAGATTTATGAATGTGCTCTAGGGCTTCTTTAGAATCTATTGATGCACCATTGAAAATCACAAATTCTTTACTAAAACGTTGATTTATGTTATGCTTCTCGGATTTGGTTAAAAAATATAAGCATGGCATGGAATAAAATAAGCATTTTTGAATTGATTTTTTTTCCTAGGTTTTTTATATGAAAGGTTAGTTTATTATATTTGCATAAACCTCCGTCAACAACACCATATTTGTTGTCCCTTATTTGCGATAATGTGTCGCTAAATGAATTTGTGTACAGCTGGGGCAAAAAGGACCCCTCTATATGGGGCACAAGAGCCACTCATTTAGTTGAACATAACCTCATAAGCAACTGTCAAATTACAATGTTGTTGTTATTATTTCGGTCATAATCGGTTGTTATTATGGTGCGTAAATATAAAAGGATTTCAACGCGAAATCGGTGGTCATCCGTGAATATGACCGCGGCAATAAAAGCGGTCATCGAATCCGGCATGGCAGTAAAGCGATCAGCCATCGAATATGGTGTGCCTCGCCGGACATTGAAGAACTATTTGAAGCATCCTGATAGGAACGTTGATGCTCGGCGGTTGGGTCGTTTTGATACGGTTTTTAGTACGGAGCAGGAAGATGAACTTGTGCAACATATCCTGAGCATGGAACAACGATTCTTTGGACTGTCCACTCGTGATATCCGGAGCTTAGCCTTCCAGTTGGTCACGAAAAATTGTATTCAACATCCATTTAATACTGAATCACAATTGGCCGGTGAAGATTGGTTGCAACGGTTTCGTCAACGCCACCCAGAACTTTCACTTCGTACTCCTGAAGCAACGTCCGCGGCCCGACCTGTAGGATTCAATCGTGTGGCTGTCTCACGATTCTACGATATTCTTGAATCCTCCTACGGAGCTGGACATTTTCCAGCGAGTCGCGTGTATAATGTAGACGAAACATCGATAGTAACGGTAAGTTGAGCGGAAGTTATTAAGACCCAAAACTAATTACTTGCAAAACTTTTATAGGTGCAAACCAGGAAATCAAAAGTACTTGCTTTAAGGGGCAGACGGCAAATTGGATGTATGACATCAGCGGAGAGAGGGGTGGTAACGACTGCTTGTGTATGTATGTCAGCTACTGGGCATTACATACCCCCTATGCTGATATTAACACGGGCACGTTTGACGGAGTCACTCACCCCTATTCTGTATTTCGTTTCGAACGAAATTCTCATACAAAAAAATATATTGTATGAGAATTTCGTTCGAAACGAAATACAGAATAGGGGTGACTGGAGACAGGAGCCCCACCAGAAAACCTCTTCAGTTGCAACGGAAGTGGCTGGATGATGATGCTAGGCTTTAACCTGTGGTTCGACCACTTTTTGAAACACTCCAGGCCTACTTCTACAAATCCGGTATTGCTTATCCTTGATGGACACGTTACACATACTAAGAACATAGCATTCCTTGAAAAAGCACAAAAACATCATGTGACAGTGATAAGTTTGCCACCGCATTGCAGTCATCGAATGCAGCCACTCGATGTAAGCTTCATGGCACCTTTGAAAGCAAACTTCTCCAAGGCAATTGAAGCTTTCCTCCGACACAATCCTGGAAAGGTTGTTACCATCAACGACGTTGGCGGTCTCTTCGGACAAGCTTCTGATCCGCTTCTGTTGCAATCAATGGATTCAGGAAAACTGGAATTTTTCCCTTCAACCGATTTGTATTCAGCGAGGCAGATTTTGCGCCGTCTGACGTGACAGACTCCCCGGCGTCAACATCAATTCAGCGTCCGGACCAAGCCTTGCATCAAACCAATGTTGCCTGTTTCACCGAGGACGACAATGAGGACGCCTTCTACGGATTTGATGAATCGACCCTCCACGACAAACCAACCTTCCCAAACCCAGCTTCCCTTCCCTTCCCGAACCCAGCTGCGAATATATCATCCACATGAAGTACGTTTGATGTTACTTCTGAAGCTATTCTACCTTTGCCCAAGGTAAACACTAAGAGAAGCGCTAGGAAAACAAAGCGTGAAAAAGTAGCCGAATTAACATCAAGCCCCTATCAGAGAAATCTGAAAGAAGCTCAGGCTTCCAAGGATATACGACATCTAAGGAAGTTGGAACGCAAATCCAAAGCTACTCCGAAACATTCAAGAAAGCAAAAAGTTGCTGATAAGAGTTCATTGCAAGATGCATTATGCGATAGCTGTGGGATGAGTTTCAGCAAGTCAGAAGACGGAACAGGCTGGAGTAAGTGTGGACACTGTAATTTGTGGTTCCATACATGTTCACGAAACGAGTGTCCTTTATGCGAGGCTTGATTACAACTCACACTGGGTTATATTTCATTCATTAAATTATTTTTTGTTGGTTTTATATGAAATAAGCGACAATAACATTGTTTACCTTCACTAAGAACGTGTATCATTGCTCATATATTCTACCTGAACGTACATTATTTTGCTTATTTTGAACATATTTTTTATGCACCTTTATTTCACTCTTGCACTCTTGCCCCATACCTATATTTTCGATGCATAAGAAACACAAAATATATGATCCTATTTTCAGCACTTTTTTAGTATTCTCCATGCCAAATTCTATTTAATTATATGGATAATACTCTCTATAATGTTATGCATACGATAAACGTTTGATTTGGTGGAGTTTTCACAATCAATTAATTGAAAAAGCTTAGGGTGACCTTCTTGCCCCTAGTTCCCCTACCTAAGGTTGAGATTCGCACAGACAAAAAGTTCGATTTCAACCCGATAATAAACAAATTCGCTATACGTATAGCCTTGTGACGGTCATATTTCATAAACATATGTGAACAAATAGATATAATGATGCGGAATTGCAAAGCCATACTTTTCATCGCTTATTAGGTTAAATTATATGTTATCATGCTTGACTAAATTGATATCGCTCGTTCTGGTATCTACAATAATGTTTTGTGAAATCGATTTAAAGCACGATTTTAATTGTATAATAAAGCATTACAAACAAAACAAAACACGTGCTGGAAATACACAAGGTCAAGAATAGCTACACAGAAGACAGAAGCATCTAGAAGTGCAATCGCTGAGTGCTCTTTATAAAGGTCCGGGAAAAATTTCCTCGAGGACCAACTATTTTGCAACTACCGTTGTGCGGTGCTGACAATTGCCACTAAAAACTAGTTTAAGTAGATACTATTCCCTCTAGGTGGGCAATCCGGCAGCTTGCTGACACGGTCACGACACTCCACCTAGCAGTAAAACAAAGTATATGACACATTTAAGCGCACTCCAAAGTGTTCCCCAGCGTGTAGGCTTTGAATATTCTGTTCTACAACTACCGAGATGCTCATCCCTCAAGAGAAAGACTTTCCCGCTACTTGAAACTATTCAATTTGATCGTTCCACGTGGAATGCAGTTTGGAAGTTGGTGACTTTTTTTTCCCCATCCCTTGTAATGAGCATGCCGTACGTATAATTAATGAGACAAAGACGATGACGACGGCGATGTGCTTCCTTAATTAACTGGCATTTGTACTTGTGAATTAATGAACGATTTTTAACACAGAATCTCCAAACCGGAGGACAGGAGAAGCAGTGCTGCTGGGTGTGTGTTCCCTGCGAGCGGCACCAGATACTCTACAATGAGACCCACTGTCGGAACTGCGATGCCGGACATTGGCCAGATTCTGCGAAAACGGGTAAGTTGCATAGAATGTTGAAAATTCCAGTAAGTAACCAATGTTTGATTTGTAGAATGTCTTCAAACCCCAATCGAGCATATGCAGTGGGACGACACCGAGGCGATTGTAGCCATGTCCTTCTCGGTGCTAGGATTCATCACGACCGGGCTGGTGTTTGTGGTATTTCTGCGGCACAACGACACTCCGGTGGTTAAGTCTTCAACCCGGGAGCTGTGCTATCTGATTCTCGTTGGGATGATCATATCACATAGTTCAATTTTCGCAATCCTAGCTAAGCCATCGTCATTGTCGTGCCTGATGAGTCGAGCTCTACCGGGAATTTCATTTGCAATGATCTATGCTTCATTGCTGGTGAAAACCAACCGCATTGCGAGGATCCTGGCAGGATCGAAGAAACGCTTTCCGACCAAGAAACCCAAGTTTATGTCCGCGGCTGCTCAATTGGTCATAACTGGAATGTTGATCTCAATAGAGATTGCCATAGCCGTATTTATACTTATTATGGAACCTCCCAGTACGGAGCACCAATATCCGACCAGACAACGGACGGTGCTCGCTTGCAATACAACTCGCATGGGAATCCTGGTACCACTGGCGTTCATCTTCTTGCTGATTATACTGTGTACCCTGTACGCCTGGAAGACGAGAAACGTTCCGGAGAACTTCAACGAGGCCAAGTTCATCGGTTTCGCCATGTACACGACTTGCGTCATCTGGGTAGCCTTCGTACCGATTTACTTCGGTTCGGAGTCGAAGATCATAACCATGTGCATCTGTATTTCGCTATCGGCCATGGTTACCCTGGTATTCCTGTTCTTCCCCAAGCTCTACATCATACTTATCCGACCCGAGAGGAATATCCGAGCGCTCTTCACCACTTCCAAAAGCATTCGTTGCCACATTGGCTCCAGAGTCGCTTCCGCCATCTCGCACAAAACATCGTCTTCCTATTCGAGCGGTCCCGGACCACCGGACGACTTTGGAGACTACAGTTTCGATGCACCGAAACCGATCATCCGATCGTCTTCATGTCAAACTTCCTTAGAACTGCTGAACAAACTCCTAGAGGTACAATTATACGAGCTCGGGAAACCGTCCCCTCAAACAACTCCCATTACCCGCCAACGGACCATTTCTTCCGCTCTCAAGCAGGTCCGCTACAGTCTCTCACCGATGAAGTCCTCCGCCAAGAAGACCTCTAATCCAGACAAGCATTTACTCGTCCCAGAAGTTGACCTTCTAAATATAAACAACAACAACAACCTTAGCACTGACCGCCGGACGGTCACCTTCGACTACACCCGCAAGGCTTCAATAAGTGATCCGAGCGATTTCTCCGAAAGCTCCATCAACCGAGACACATGTTACCACTGCGCCCAGCTGGACGCCGTTCGCTACAAGTACGACCTGATCGATGCCACCGATGACCTGCTGCCGGATTCGTCCAGTACGCTGGAACAGCAACCACAGCCCAACGGTGGAGTGTACATGATCAATTCCGGTGCTATCAATGGGACGGCAACGCTCGGCAAAGGATACGGCAAGTACGCCAAGACGATGATCAGCGAGGAAAGCCTCTCGGAGTGCTCGATCAGTACCATGTCGGAGTCGTGCGATTGCAAGTACAAGAGCATTACCATCAAGTTTCCCAAACCGATCGTTGGCCAGCAGCAGGTGATGTACTTTTGATCAGCGGTCATTTAGTGTGATTATGGGGGAAAGATGAATTTATAGCAACTCTGTGGTAGTCGATTGTAATAGTGTTTAGATTTTTTTCTTTCCAATTGAACTTTCGAAGATTTAGGCGCAAGATGTTTCTATTAGTAGCAAAAAAGAGTAGTGAGAACAACGTGATAAATCAAATTTCTTACATATAATAGATGCGATGAAATCTTTCGTCAACTGTCAATGTCAATAAACGGGGATGCACTTTGATTGGGAAGGAGTTTAAGGAAGGAAAGAAAAGACCCAAATGAAGCAGAACGTCTCGTTGCTTCACTGAAAATCGATGATCGATGATCTCTTCTACAGTTTAAATCTAAATGAGATCTTGTAAGTTGTCATGAAACGAGCATGGGTCATTATTCTTCAAGTAACACAGTTCTTCCCACTTAGAAAAAATCATGTAAATTTAGGTGCTTTGAGAGTGACATATACGAGCGTCAATTTTGACATAAATTTGAGTCATAACAGAAATATAGCTCAATCAAACGTACTTTTCATCGAGCAACGAACTTTTCAGTCTCGAAGCACTTAGTATTACATGACATGTTTGTTTACGTCTCATCTTTTACGTCAAAGACGGATTAACTAAACGAAAGAGGTGTAAGTGACTTTACTCGATTCTCTTCATCGACTTTCTCTTTCGTTAATAATTCAACTGCAAACACATTCCTTGATTCGTGTGCCATTCTGGATGCTAGATGAGAACCTCCTTTATCAAACTATGTGGCAGAATTAGCGCAAAAACTGTTTATAAAGCTGTGGCTATCAAAAGAGAAAGTCGATGAAGAGAATCGATCAAAGTCACTTACACCCCTTTCCTTCTAACCCCCTCATTTTACTTAACTTAACATTTTCTTAACTTTTTCTTAGCTTTAACATAACTTTAACTTAACTTCAAAATATTCAAGGGTTGTTCGACTCTACACATCCCAATCTGTGCCGAGAGCTAGGTCAAGCGTTGTGCCGAACGTACCAAAGTGTGGCAATCAAGGTATCAGTCTCAGTAACCCATGAGTATGGCAACCCTGCACTTATGACTGTTGAGATTGTGTGTTTGTATTTTAAAGTCAAGGACGGAAAAAAGTTGAGAAACTTAATTCCAAGATAATATTCAACGAGCTGGTTGGCGGTCATCCGCTTGTAGGAAGTTGCACTCGAAGTGACTGGATGGCAGAAGCTATCCATCCAGGAGAAAACAGTTATCTACCGTGCGTCATTCTGGCAGACGTTTGCCGAAACCAAGTACCCAACCGGCAAGTGGAAGATGAATCTTGTCTGCGATATCATCATGCTACTCGGGCAATGCCCTGAAAAATAGGAAGGACTCGACCTAAAATGCCCACCGGCGGTAGTAGTAAGCAATAGACATGCAGTAGCTTCCCAGTGTCAGCAGTCGTGGTTAGGTACTAAATTCGTCTTACTGACCGCCCCCCCACCCCCCCGCCACCCACACTATTACGAAGAAGAGTGTAAACAGCACGACTGATTGAGTGAAGCGGTGAGTGACCAACTTTCATTGTCAACTGTCAAAAGCAACTGGTACGTTGCTTGAGTGAGCGTCCGATTCGATGGTGATAAAATAAAAAGGGTAACTATGATCAGTCATTTCGTGACTTCTACAGTGACAGTTTTCAAGACTGCTGGCAGCAACTGGAGTATTTTGAATGTTTTCACATGTATGCCTCCAGTCCTTCCTTTTAGATCTTCGTATTTCCTTATTATAACATGTGAGGGATTCCCCGTATTGATCCCATTGTCTTGTCATTTTCGCCCGGTTAAATAGATTCCTGGTTTTCTTCCGAAGTATCTCTAAGGTTTTATTCAACCAAGGTTGTTGTTGAATTAAGCTTCATTGCATGTTTTTGAGCATCCTCTCGAGTTATTGACTCCAACTATAAGCTTTGAGTTGTATTGCTCCCAGTTAGTTTTCCTGGGATCTCATATAGTTTCAATGATTTGTTGATTAAGTTCATAATCAAATATGATTTGCTTATGATCGGACAAAGATACTTCATCCGATACGTGCCAATTCTCGTTTTTGTAAGAAATCGCTGGACTACATAATGTTAAGTCAAGAACTTCTTGCCTATTTGCGTTTATAAAAGCTAGATCATCCCCCTTATTCCATATACATATCTATTTCTTTCTGTGAATCTTTTGTAAAACACAGCGGTTGCTCCCTTTGCATGGTGCAGATTCACTTGAATACATTTTATTTGCTTACTTTTCAATTTGTTGATTGAATTTGCGGCGTTTATTGGGTCGAATCTTCGGAACATTGTTTCTACGGTTACCGATAGATTTATTTTTCTGAATCCCAGCACTGATTCTGTATTTGTCACTCGATCATCGTTGACTGTATTTGTAGTATGACCGGAATCTAGTTTTTCTCCCATGTCCTTGACACTACTGGATCCTGGGATTTTAACTACATCCACAGTGAAGATTAATTCAACGTGTGGTTGGTTTATAATGCTACGCTGGAGTATTTTCCATGCATTCACTATCAACCCATCGTTTTGGCTTTCTAAGGCCGTTCGTAATGCTGAGTTTCAAAATTGTTTCAAACTACTCGACAGTTCTAAAATTTGAAACTGTCAAAAATGACACTGCAACACGATCAGCGCAACGCCCAGTTTTAAAAGGTGTTTGGTATTCATCCCTACATACGTGTGAAGTACTTGATCTTCTATATAGTAAAGCTGGAGTTTTGGATGGTACATTCCAATACGGAACCGTCTTCGTTGGAGCCAAGTACCCAGATCTACAGGATTGTTGAACAGTTGAAGATTTTTAGAATAATAATAGAATATCTGATTACCTAAAGGTCTTTGTCACGTTGTGTCATAAGAAAATATCTGAGAGACGCAATTTGAATTGTTGGATACCTACCTAAACTGAAGGCTTGAAAAAATATCTTGAGGTATTAATGACGATCTATGGAAACGAAAATCACTTATACATTTTTGCCAAAACATCAGCCTTATACATTCCATAAGACGAACCGCATAGGTCCTCTAAGAATGCATAAAAGGTATGTGTGACCGCTTACACATTTCATTTGACACATGATCTTCATTAACTTTTTGCAAGGCGTCTGCTTATTAGTTGACTTATACATTTTATGAATAATCAGCAATAGAAATTTGCCAAAAGGTTTACGGAGATTTCTATCCGTGTGGTCACCTGATGGCGTTTGGAAAAATTTCTGAGTCACCTGGTATTATGAGAGAATATCTGGGAGATGCGATTTGAATTCTTGGATAATAGAAGATCCACAGAATAGTTGATCAACCAAATGACTTCAAAATAGTACCTGAACAACCTGAAGACTTGAAAAAAGATCATCAGAAGTTTTTGGAGATCTCTGATTACCTGAAGGGTTATGCAATAGTTTCTTAGTCCCTTGGATGAGACAATATCTTAGGGATGTGATTTGAATTGTTGATTATTTATGGAGATTATTTTATGACAATAGCTGATCACCTGATGCAGGCGATTGTAAAAAAATCTGAGCAACTTGGTATCGTGGGTGAATATCTGAGCGACGTGATTTAAATTCTTGGACAGATGAAGATCTTCAGAATAATACTTGATCAACATGAAGACTTGAAAAAATATCATGAGAAATTTTTGGAGATCTCTGATCACCTGAAGGTCTTTGGAATATTTTCTGAGTCACCACGTATTATATGAGAATATCTGGGAGATGTGGTTCGAATTGCTGAATAGATTGAAATCTTTATGAAGATATTATGCAGCATAGTACATGATCAACCTGAAGTATCCAGAGGACTTTATGGAAATCTTAAAACACATGAAGGTTTTTGGAATAATTTTTGAGCTACCTGGTATCATATGAGAGAATATCAGAGAGATGTGATTGTTTGCTAGTTGGATATTTTCAGAATGATACCTGATCATCCTGAAGTTTTGAAAAAGTAACCTGAGGTTATCATGGAAATCTCTGATCACCTTATGATCATCGAAATAATTTATCAACAACATAGTATCATGAGAGAACATCGAATAAACGTGATTTGAATTGTTTGATAGTTGGATACTTTATGAGCAGCATGGTATCATATGAGAGAAAATCTGTTTGAAGTAGAAGACGCAAGCGCTTTCATGAAATGCTGTGAAGATCCATGCATTTCCATGACGTTCTATAATATACTAGCCCAAACAACACCCAGCTGATATATCCATTGTATGACTAGTTTTTGTTGTATAGCAGTTTACTCAACAACTTAATTACCAATCAGAATAAGGCCTTGTTGTCCTCTGCTGTCCGAAGAAGTCGTCTCCACTCTACTCGATCCATGGCCACACTTCGCCAGCCTCGTAGTCTGCGAAGGGTCCGCAGGTCGCAGGTGCGGAATTCTTACGACGTGCCCAGCCCACCGTAGTCGCCCAATTTTTGCAATGTGGGCGATGGATGGTTCTCCCAGCAGCTGGTGCAATTCGTGGTTCATTCGCCTCCTCCACGTTCCGTCATCCATCTGCACTCCACCGTAGATGGTGCGCAACACCTTCCGTTCGAAAACACCAAGGGCGCGTTGGTCCTCCACGAGCATAGTCCAGGTCTCGTGGCCGTAGAGGACCACCGGTCTAATCAGCGTCTTGTAGACAGTCAACTTCGTGCGGCGGCGGATTTTATCCGACCGGAGCGTCCTCCGGAGTCCCAAGTAGGCACAATTCCCTGCCATAATGCGTCTTTGAATTTCTCTGCTGGTATCATTTTCGACGGTCACCAGTGAGCCCAAATACACGAACTCATCGACCACCTCGATTTCGTCACCGTCAATCTGAACTCGGGGTGAGAGGCTAACATTATCTTCCCTAGAACCTCTTCCTTTCATGCGTTGATGGCAAGTCCAATCCGCCTAGCTTCAACCTTCAGTCTGATGTACGTATGGACTTCCTGAAGACCGTGGCACTCGTGTCTATCCCAGCTCTTCTGATCACACCTTCTATACCTATCTCACACCTAATATTGAATAGCAGACACGAAAGTCCATCACCTTGCCGTAACCCCCTTCGAGATTCAAAGGGACTCGAGAGTGTTCCCGATACTCGAACAACGCACATCACTCTATCCATCGTCGCCTTGAACAATCGCGTCAGTTTATCCGGAAATCTGTACTCGTGCATAATCTGCCATAG